GCCCCCCCTCCTCCCCCCCTTCTGGTGTAGCAGGAGGAATTTCCGGAAAGGAAGGGTCTGGATGTGCCGGCCAGAAGCCTTTCCCTGGAGGTTCTCTTTTCCCTCACAAAAGCCCCTGCGAATAATTTCCCCAGGGATTTCTGGGCAGTATTTATATTTTTCCAGGAAGAAACAGGGGGTGGCTCCAAATTCCATTATTCGAAGTGCTTTTGACCCAAGACCCATTTGGGTTCCTGCTCATGTGCTTTCATTCCCACCATACACTGGTCCCACGCAGGAAGATCAGGAAAAGCAATTAGAAGCCGAGGGCAGGTCACAGCCGCTCCCCCGCCTTTACTGGCCAGTGCCGCGCTCCAGCCCGCACCTCACGGCGGCCCTGTTCTCTCAGCTCTCCTGCCGGGGTCCACTGGAGAAGGGAGCACGGTCCACAGGTACTGAACACCTGCCTTCAGGGGGAAAGGCACTGTTTTAAACTGTGAAATACGACATGCATATATACAAGTGTCTGCAAAGATAGGTATGCTTTAAGTAACAATCGCAAAACAAACACCCCATCTCCCTGCTACCCAAGTCAAGAAAGAGAATGTTGGCATTCCCAAGAAACTCCGCTTCTTGTTCTGTTCTTTTGTTTGTTTTACTTTTTTTTTTTTTTAAGGCCTAGGGTTTTGATAAAATTAACGGGTCTGGGTTTCTCCACTTTTTCAGTGGAGGAGACAAGCTATTCATAGGAATGTGGGCGGGATGAAGGAGTGTGCGCTCTGGGACTCAAGGGGAGGTTCCCATGGCAAGCGTGTGGCTGTGTGGCCTGGCTGCACCTTGAGGCTCCTGGTTCTCCTTCAGAAGTGAGGTGCTGAGGTGTGGAGACCCCTGCAATCTCAGGTGGGAGCTGGGCCCTTGGGGGAGGCAGGATTGAGGTAGACCTAAGAGCAAGGTCATGGAAGATGAGTTCTTTGGCAACAGGCACTGCTTCTGCCTCTAGGTGAGCTCCCAGTCAAACAGGATGGAGTACTTGCAAGAAAAAGTCACCCATCGAAGGACACATGAGTTTTAAGGTGCTTCAAGCATCCTATGATGGAGTCAGAAGCACATGGTAAAGATGTTCCGGGGGAGGTGGACAGAGAGCAAGATGTTAAAGTAAGGGTGGGATGTTAATTATTAAACAAGAAGACCGGGGCTTTCCAGATAGGAAGTGAAATGACAGGTGCCAGGTGCCTCTAGTGCAGGGGTGGGCAAACTTTTTGACTCGAGGGCCACAATGGGTTCTTAAACTGGACCGGAGGGCCGGAACAAAAGCATGGATGGAGTGTTTGTGTGAACTAATATAAATTCAAAGTAAACATCATTACATAAAAGGGTACGGTCTTTTTTTTTTTTTAGTTTTATTCATTTCAAACGGGCCGGATCCGGCCCGTGGGCCGTAGTTTGCCCACGGCTGCTCTAGGGACAGCATCCTTTTTGGCAGGGATGGCGCTTGTTTTCCCAGCCCTGTAAGTAGTCAGGGCCGGTGGAGGATGTCGAAGAATGGTGAGGTCACCTGTTTGTTTTTTTTGTTGTTTGTTAATTCTCACCCACGGATATTTTTCCATTGTTTTTCTTAGAGAGAGTGGAAGGCAGGGGGAGAGACACAGAGAGAGAAACATCGATGTGAAAGAGACACAGGGATTGGTTGCCTCTGGCACAAGCCTGGGCTGGGGATCGA